TTCCAGGGCCACAATCCAACTTTATGAAGATTTATGTTTATGATTAAGTTCCTCTTACTCAAATGTGCTTTATTGGTTGAACATAATTTCATTAGAAGTTGTCCAAACTCCAAAAGATTGATGCAAACCTTTTTGGTTTTTATAGTGTATTTATGAAACTATAAGCACATTTTTGTTTATGGCCAAACGTCGAGGAAGTTCCATACCATTTCTAACTGCTTCCAATTAAAAAAAAAAAAAAAAACCACATAACTGCTCAAACAGTATTTTGCATGTCAGTATCATTTGGTGCCAAAGCAAATTTGTACAGACAATATAACGGGTGTTTGCAGGACGACAGAAGAACAGATTTCTAACATGGGTTTAATAATAAAGATTATCAGATCAGGCAAACAGGTAGTAGCGAAAGCGCAGTAGTAGCAAAGTCTATGTTGTGTGTGCTTCTTATGTATTATAACCCAGAATACACGAACACATCATGTCATCACATCACATGATTTGACCTAAAATATAGAAGAATATTAAAATTGCAGGTTTCTGTGTAAACCTGCGTGTTTTACAGGTGTAGATGGCTCTTTTTTTGATGCAGGGCTGTAGTGAATCAACACTGACTCCACCTCTGCCACAAACAGGCCTAATTATGTCAGAAATACTTGTGCATGATTGGCCTGTGTTGCCATATGTGTGTCGTTTGCAGATGAGAGTTAGTCTCTGTTTTCATGATGCTGCCTGCTGTATATGGTCCCAATCACTGAGAAATGAAGAGAGTAATAGACACGGAGAGAGAATGATACTGTGTGTATGTGTGTGTGTACATGTATGTGATAGTTTTGTTTTGTTTTGTTTAATCTTTTATTTACTCTGTGCAGACATATTTTCCTTCACTGCAGTTATGTTCTTCCTTTAAAGAAATAGTTCACCCAAAAATGAAAATTTGCTGAAAATTCACTCAACCTCAGGCCATCTAAGATGTACTGTATATGAATTTGCTTGCTCATCAGAACAGATTTGGAGAAATGTAGCATTACATCACTTGCTCACCAACGGATCCTCTGCAGTGAATGGGTGCCGTCAGATTGAGAGTCCGAACAGCTGATAAAAACATCACAACAATGATATAATAGCAAATTTCTACAAATCTCTCTGGATGAAGAAACAAACTCATCTACATCTTGTATTTCCTGAGGGTAAGCAATTTTTCAGCAAACTGAACTATTGAAATAAACTATTTCAGAAAAATGAAAATGAATTCCTTTAAGTTCTGCCTGCTCCTCTCACTGAAAATGATTGAGGACTGTGTACGTGTGTGTGTGTGTGTGTGTGTGTGTGTGTGTGTGTGTGTGTGTGTCTTTGTGGGGACGTCTTTTTTTTTTGGTCCCCATGAGGAAAACCGTTTATAAATCATATGAAACTCACATTTTCTGTTCATGTTTACGCTCATATTCTCTGTGTAAAAGACATAATTTAATCCTACGTTTTGCCTATTCTGGGTGAAGAATGCATTACTATATGATATGTAGTGTTTAGATTTAGTATACTAGATTAAGTATAGTTTACCTCATTTTCCTGTTCAAAGTCGGAGATTGGAAATTGTGAAACAATATATTCTTCTACATACTCACAGACAACAAATCCCACATCATCTGCCTACACACACACGTGCATGGATGCGTGCA